CATTCCTCGTTATCTGGGCAGTTTCAACACACAAAGACATTCTGATGACCAGAGATTGGGGGGAGGAGGGGTGGAGTGGAAAAGATGATTCAGCAAGCCAGCTGAACAAGTGACTTAAATTGCCCTTGAGAGGGTTAAATTAACCCCATCCCTGGCCATTACATCACTTCTTAAAATACTGCCAATACCAGCTACCATTTCCAGTTCAGAGCAGAAAACATGACAGCAAGTGTCTCTGAGCTCTTCTATTAACACCACAACTGAAAGTTACCAATGGGCCCCACGCAAAGTGGCAATCCCAGCGTAGGGGCTGGGTTATTGTATTGTAGTTCCAGATTGTGCTAGTCACTGTTCTAATCAAACTGTGCTTTTATTGTGGAAAGAAAGATATAGACTATTTAAAAAAAAAATAATGGGAGGAAAATGGCTGTGACAAAACAGAGTCCCAAAAGCGAGGAAAAACAACAACCTGTTTCTCGCTATGTGAAATCAGAACCCACTAGGTTTGGCACTCAGCAGGAGAGTAGAGTTTGCAGCTGCCCCTATGAGACTGTTCTGTGTTTGTAGAGCATGTAACACAATGGGGTCCCAGTTCACGACAAATACAATACAAATAATACTATTAAGATGCTGCTGCTGGGGGGGAGGGAGGGGTACGGCGGCCCGAGGCTGCCCCAGCAGTGGCCGGTGCAGGGTCTGTCCGAGCGGCCCCCAGACCAGCTGCACTGGCCACTGCAGAAGTCACCGAGGTCCTGGAAAGTCACGGAATCCATGACAGACTCGCAGCCTTAATTATGATATAACGAGACCACACAGATACAGTTCATCTTCCAGCTAATTGTTACCAGTCATAAGAACAGCCATACTGGGTCAGACCAAAGGTCCATCTTCCCCAGTATCCTGTCTTCCGACAGTGACCAATGCCAGGTGCCCCAGAGGGAATGAACAGAACAGGAAATCATTAAGTGATCCATCCCCGTTCTCCATTCCCAGCTTCTGGCAATCCGAGGCTAGGGACACCATCCCTGCCCATCCTGGCTAAGAGCCATTGGTGGACCGATCCTCCATGAATTTATCTGGTTCTTTTTTGAACCCTGTTAAAGTCTTGGCTTTCACAACATTCTCTGGCAAAGAGCTCCACAGGCTGACTGTGCGTTGTGTGAAGAAATACTTCCTTTTGTTTGTTTTAAACCTGCTGCCTACTGATTTTATTTGGTGACCCCTAGTTCTTGTGTCATGTGGAGTAAATAACACTTCCTTATTTACTTTCTTCATACCAGTAATGATTTTATAGACCTCAATCATATAGCCACCTTAGTCGTCTCTTTTCCACGCTGAAAAGTCCCAGTCTTATTAATCTCTCCTCATACGGAAGCTGTTCCATACTCCTAATAATTTTTGTTGCCCTTTTCTGAACCTTTTCTAATTCTAATATATCTTTTTTGAGATGGGGTGACCACATTTGCACGCAGTATTCAAATGGGTGTTCGATGGATTTATATAGAGGTAATATGATATTTTCTGTCTTATTATCTATTCCTTTCTTAATGATTCTTAACCATCTGTTCACTTTTTTGACTGCCGCTGCACATTGAGTGGATGTTTTCAGAGAACTATCCACAATGACTCCACAATCTCTTCTTGAGTGGTAACAGCTAATTTAGACCCCATCATTTTAGATGTACAGTTGGGATTATGTTTTCCAATCTGCATTACTTTGGATTTATCAACACTGAATTTCATCTGCCATTTTGTCGCCCAGTCACCCAGTTTTGAGAGATCCTTTTGTAGCTCTTCACAGTCTGCCTGGGACTTAACTATCTTGCGTACTTTTGTATCACCAGTCTATTTTAGTTATAGGAGAATGAAAACCACTTTCCATTATTATCCCTTTTTAGATATTTCAGCACCAAGAGAGCAGAACGCCTCCCTTCAACCAGGCTCAGCAGGGCAAAGAGGGGGAATGGCCATCCACCCGTCACAGACACACAATAATCCCAAACCCCTTCTGCACTCAGGTCTCTAGCATGTCTCAAAAGAACAGTGGGTAATGAAGTATAATTTTATGATCTAGCCGTTCCTTTTAGTTCTGATGAAAGCCCCTCCCACTGCAAATGCCTTCACTGAATTAAGTGATGAAACCCTCTTTTCAACAATGGTTTCAGTATTCCTCACTAAGAGAGCCACAAAGACCTGGCCAACATTTGCTGTATTTGAAGATATGACGCACACATCTCTTCTACTTTAAATATCCGCCTCTTCACACAGATTCAAATGTCGTTATAACTCAGAACTCATCCTATGCTTAGAGTCGCTCATTTTAGGATTGCAGGCTGCTTTGGAGGAAAAACATAGATGCTGATCTGTTGAGAAAGGAGATCAGGAAATGGGAGCATGTCTCCTGCTCCAGATGTGTTCCAAAAGGACTTAGGGAGAGTTTAAACCCCTCTGATCTTAGTATCCTTTCAAGAAGCATCTGAATCTTAGTGGGGAGTCCTGTGTTGGTTTCACTTTGGGAATGCTCCACCCAAAAGTTCTGCTTATACCTGAGCCTTCACTAAAGAGGTATTTGCTCTTGAAGGTAATGCCCAGGAGTTCCAGATGTGGATATTAACTTTTGAAGGGTTACAATGACTTTCCCTGGGCTGAGCCTGGCATTGTGTTGTATTGTGTTCGCCAAAAAGTACAGCAACAGAATACTAATGTAACTTTTCATCCCACTTGGTATCACACATAGCGAGCACTGGAGTTTGGACTCCAGGACACGTGATGTGGCTTTGTGATAACACTAAGACAAATAATAGTCCATGTTTCATGGTTAAGACAGGCACAGAGATATGTGATGTCGCCACATTTCAAACAAAGCATTACATCAGGGGTAGTCAATTATTTTTTGTCAAGGTCCAAATTTCTTGGTCAAGGTATAGTCAAGGTCCAGACTGCAGAGAAACATTTTTCACATTGCAATAACAATAAGAGTCACTTGGAGTGAAGTAAAGAGGATGGGGAGAAAGAAGATTAGACCAAGAAAGAGATGCAAAATTATTTATCTTACATCAAATTACGATCCAAATTAAAAGTTCAGAGCAAAACAACAGCCTGGGGAGAAGGGCAGGGCATGGTCACTGATATTGTGTTGTACACATTTCTCTGTATATCATCTGCCTGGCCCTAAGGACTTTGTCCAGAGCTTATCACCATACAACATAAGAATTAACTCTATTTAGAGTGTAAGCTCATTGGGGCAGGGCCTTTAAAGCACAAAGCAGACTTTAGGCACTTAAAAAAAAACCCACCATCAACAACAAGAAAGCAGGCTGCAAGATCCTGCTGAGACTCAAACTCCAATAAGCCACTGAGACACCCATAAGTTGGTGGCACTAATGCCCGAACAACTCCACAGGCTCTGGGACACCACAAGGTCACAGAGCACATAGGGAAATGCCAGGGCATGCATGCACAGTCATCATTCCCGTTATGCAAGGTTAGTATCTGGTGTGCTGAATGCAGCAAACCACAAAAGGGCACTGTCCCAGAAAGAGAGCGTAAGAATGAGATGAATAGAATATACCCTGCTGTACAGACTTGAGTCACAAGTCACCTTCCTCCGCCCCCAACCCCCCCCACATGGCTGCTGCAACAGCAGTGAAAGCCTCCTGCCCCAATGGCCCATGTGTATACATTAACCAAACCCCACAGGGGTATGCAGCCCCCTTAACCCCACCCACCATTCCTCCACGGGGGCCCTGCAGTGTCACCTCTTCACTCCCTCGGGAGTATACACCATCCCTGCAACACCAGCGTGCTACCTGCTTCCCCATCCCAGGGATCTGCACCAAACCCCCCTACCCAGTGACCTCTGCTCTCCCACCCCCACCGACCTCCCTCTTCCAGGGCATGCACCACCCTAGACACCCCTGCAGTGCCAGGTAATACCTCATCCCCCCGCCTCCCCCCATGGACCCAGGCCCTCCCCCATTACCAGCTTCTCTCCCCACTAGAATCCTCTGCTCTCTTGGTACCAATACCCCTCCCCCTGCGCCCCCCCATGCCAGCTCCCCTCCCCCACTCTCGGGTCCTACCCCACCCCCTCTGGCTACTCTCTCCCCCGCCTCACACACCTCTGCCCCCCACCCCGGTACCAGCTCCCGCCAACCGTGCCAGCCCCTCCCCC